TTAGAGGCATGCCTTAAAAGGAAAAAAATATTTTTTTGGTACTAAGACTCTTTATGTATTAAATCTCTCAAAGCACTAAATAACTCCACAGGATTTATTACATAAATGGAGATTTGACTTCCTTTTGAAAATTTACCATGTGTGTTGTGTGCTTTGCATATAGCTAACCACAAAAAACCTTTTGGCTCAATGACTTTGAATGTTACTAGTTAAGTTGGTCCATCTAAATTTTATGTCAAGTGCTATTCCAAATTTGTTTAAATTGATGTTTGCATTCCCATGACTACTGTGGGAAGAATTACGATCAAGGGAAACCTACTGTCCAATGAACTGAACAGTAATGACCGAAAATATTAGCCAATGTTATTGATAAAAAACAAATGCAGAAATCTAGCAGTCCAAACCCTTGGATTACTGTATTCAAGTTCAGAACAAAAGAAATTTTTCTTGAGGTGGTTTTATCAGTTATTACTATTTTAAATCACTCTTATATGTAATTATCTTTTAACACACCTTGCAGAATCGCATTTGCTATGCTGCCTGAAACACCTTGCAGTCTTTAAATCAGTTAAGTTTGCCTGAAAATTATGACTTTCAATTCCAGAACTAATTTATTTCCTAGGTGAACTGAACTGTGAAACCTGTACCGTAACCCGGAGTGGATTGACTGGTCTTGTTTCTGGCGGTCTGTATCCTGTTTTCTTGGCTATACCAGTGAATGCTTCCCTAGCAGCCAGGTAGGATTGTTTTCTCATAATCAGTGAAAAGGTTTTTTATACAGATTAGGTAGAAATCTTGCAACTTAAAACAGCAAATATATTTTCTGTTTTTAAGGCATTTAGAACACAGGCAATGTTATTTTCTTGATTAGAATTGTTTTTCTTATTAAGTAATCATCCAATTTTACTTATCAAGAATTTGAAAGTTTTAGAACTTTATCACACTGTACTGTCAAGCTACTAACCGTAATTTGTGTTTTGAATGCTCACTACTAAGCTGCAGTGATATGCCCAGAATGAAAGCTGTATTATATGAAGTTTTCTTAGATGAGTTTGAGTATTTTACTAGAGGAAAATGCCAGAAAATGTCTAGCTATAATGGTTATTCTCTGTTGAACTCTTCCATCAGGAATCTATGCCATATGAGTCTCTAGAGGTGAGGTGAACTGGAGAAGGGGTGAAAGAAAACAGGACAGTTTTTAGGATTAATAAACACTGAAGAGCATAGCATGACCTTAACTTTTAGTTTTACCTTAAGACTTTCTAAAAAAGGAAAATCATGGAAAAAAAAAAACTTTTAATAGAGTTAATATACATATGTGTATGTGTGTGTGTGTGTGTATATATATAGTGCATAGATTTGCCACTTGATACAATGATCTTTTCTAGTGAAATATCTCAATATTTTCTTACAGGTATCAATCAGCTCCGCTACCAGAAAAAGGAAACATCTTAACATACTGGATTAGAATTTCTAAGCCTATCTTGAGAAAGATGTTATTTCCAATTTTGCTCCAGACTGTGTTTACAGCATACCTTGGATCTAGACAATATAAACTACTTATAAAGTCCCTTCAATTACCTGAACCTGGCCTAGAAATTAACTAATTTTAAGCAAATGTGTATACACAAAAATAAAATGGCAAAAATAACCTGTATCTAATGTTGTGAATAAACATAGACTTGTAATTTATCGTGAGGTACAACTGGGCAACAAAGCCTGAATCCCTGTAAAGGCTACCCATGGAAAGCATTAACTTCACTAGTTTGCTCAATATTGTCTCTTCCACCTTGCTCACTCCATCCCTTTATATGAAGCATCAAGTCTGAACTGTAATATGAGAGGAAAAAATTAACTATACAGTCATGTCACTGAAGATTTCATAAAGCGAAACAGCAATAAAAATGAAAACAATGTATAAATACTATAGCAAATGTTTCTTACAGCTCATTTTCCCAATTTGAAGATTTCCGTAGGTATTGATAAAACCTTAGAATATACACTATTGTTATATTGCCACTGTGATGGCAATTTTTAGAATATATAACTTTCACAAAGGGATCAATCCCATTCTTACTGACAGAAAGTCACTTAGATCACTTAGATCAGTTTGAGCTATTACCATAGAATACTATCTACTTTTAAAATCACCTTATTTATATCTTAGAAAGCTGTATCTTTAAAAGTTAAGCATAGTCTATCTTTAAAGTTTCCATCTATTATGGGATCAAGAAGCACAGACTTGAATTGCTTGTTAGCTATCTGGTGTTGAGCAAATTATCCTGACCCTGAGTGAAATATCCTACTTGATTCATTTCTTAAGATAGGCCATGTAAATTTTTTTTTACTGCCCCATGATCTGCCAAAAAGATCATTAAAAGTTTCTAAATGTTTTATTATGTTTTCCACCCCCAAATTTCTATCCTCATTCTCTAACCCATTTTCTTTTGAGTCAGCATCCAAATCAGCATCGTCCAATAAAACCTGTGATGGCAGCAATATTTTATACCTGTAGTGTTAATGTTAGCCACTAGCCAAGTGGCATCTGAATTGTATAACTGAATAAATGAATTTTAAATTCTAATCAATTAAAAAAATTTAGCCTCATGTGGCTTAATACTTACTAGAACACTTAATGAGGCAAGCCAATTATCACAGACAAGTACCAAACAAAATTCTTAGTGCCCATCCTAGATCATATTCATGAGCACCTTAAATATTCCTCCCAAATACTAATAGATCTGTTAAGTAATCTTACACTACTTAAAATTACAAAAAAGAGGCTTGGTGCCCATAGCTCAGTGATTAAGACGCTGGTCACATGCACCAGGGTTGGTGGGTTCAAACCTGGCCAGGGCCTGCTAAGACAATAACAAAAATAAAACAAAAAAAAAAGCCAGGTTTTGGGGCAGGCACCTGAGTCTCACCTACTTAGGAGGCTGAGGCAAGAGAATGGCTTAAGCCCAAGAGTTTGAGGTTGCTGTGAGCTGTAACACCATGGCACTACCTACCAAAGGCAACATAGTAAGACTCTGTCTCCAAAAAAAAAAAAAAAAGTATTACATAAAAAGAATGTAGAAAAGGCAGGTTTCCCAGGGAAAACAGGCTTTCAGCTTCATTTAAAGGAAAATATAAAGCAGTGCTGCCAAGCATTTAAAACTCAAGTGAAATCAATAAAAGACATTAAGAAACAAGATGATTTGTTCTTTTAACAGGCAGATAATATGTACTCTGTTATCTTTAAAAAATGATTCCAGATGAGGCAAAAGCATCTATCAATATGCACAGAAGAGACTAAAAGGAAATATGCCAAAACATTTACTTTGTATATTCTCTGTGTTATAGATTATAAGGTGATTTTTCTTCTTGATTCTTTCTAGATTTTCTAGTTTTCTAAAACAAACATGCTTTACTTTTACAACTAGGGAAATAAAACATACATACACGTATACAACAGTTAAAGGGCAAAAAAAATTACCTGTTTAGTTTTACAAGATAAAATATCGAGATGAAAAGTTCTCTGACCCCAAATTATCCATTTTACCTGCAGTCTGTCAGTTTTATTCAAAACAATTATACTTATCACAATGTAAAATGAGTTAAAAATAATTTCAGACTTCAAAACTAAGAAACCCAATTACTGAGCTAAACTCCTTAATACAGAATGGGGTAATCAACTTAGATGCTTCAAACCCCTCTAATATAACTAAGAAGTTTGATCATTCAGTTCAAAATGTTTCCTTACCTATCCCCAAGCATTCCCCTAGCATAATTTATAAGTATTTATGTAACCAAAAAGAACTTCTTTCTCGTATCTGTCCTCTGCTACATATTTTTTAAATCATCTTTCCTACTAGAAATGGGCACCGCAAACAGTAAAGCACATTAAGCCTATTGCTACAAATCTACTTTACCAAAATGTTTGTTGAGACAATATATGACATGTGAACCTACATGGTCTGCATTACAATTTAAGGACACTTAGTCATTTGTAGTTATGACTTGAAGACCACTGCTCTCAGTCAGAAAATAGTTTTTACTATTTCAGTCCAGTCATGGCAGATAAACTATTTTGTTTAGTTATTTGGCTTTAAAAAAAGAGAAAGGGCTCACATTATATTACGGCATTAATATATTTCATAAACCTTGAACTATAGTACAGAGCCAGAGGGGTGTAGGAAGCTGACTTCAGTGGGTATACAGGAAAGACACAGAATCTGGAGGCACATTCTAAAGAGAGGCTGCCAGTGAAATTCAAATCAGAGCATTAACAGAACTGCACAAATTCTCAAAACACAATTAGTAACTACAATTTTTAAATTAGTTCACTGAAAACTGAGCAAATTATTTTCAACAATTTGGGATCAACAAAAATGACAGTATTTTAAGACAATACCTAATGATGGGCTTAGAGTACTGAGGCTATACATTGAGGTATTCAAATTCAAATATGTAAAAAATACTGTTCTGGCCAAACAAAACACTGCATTTCTAAAGGAAGACTTCACCTTTCAAATTTTTGATTTCTAAAAAAATAAAAAATAAAAAATAAAAATTTTTGATTTCTGGCTTTGACAACTAGATGAAAAAACAGGTAAGAAAAATGGTAAAAACATAAACATTTTGGAAGGTCTCAAAAACTTTGTATTGATAGTCTGGAGGAAAAAAAATTTATAAAATCTACTACATATTTAACTTTAAAGAGTCATCAGATTTTTTAGCTAATTTGACTCAATTAGCAAGGCTAAGCTTAAACTACACCTTCAAAATGTTAAACTAGGTAATCACATAGTAAAAAGGCAAATTATTCATCAGTGAATTACCCAAGCTATCAAAGTAGTGATGGTCACTAAATGTTGGCGCCTTTGGTTGTAGCTTGAACCTACCACCGACCTCCTCCCTTTTCTAACATCTGCACACTTCCCAAATGATCAATCACATAAAATAACTCAGTCTAGCCCAAATGAAGGAATGAAATAAAACAATCCAGAGTTTTGAATTTTTTTCATACTTGTAATAAATGGGAAAAATATTTCAATTAAGTAAAACAACCATTTACCATGAAGAGCCACTCCCATCATCCAGAATACTAAAGCCCTTATATACACTAATTTTAATATAAAACAGTAGAAACTAATATATCACTCGTTAGAAACCTCAAATTACAGTGTCTAGTACTCAAGAGAAAGGTCAAGAAGCCAAACTTCAGAATCCTGGTGTCACCCTAAGTTGTAGTAACTACTCACATTTAATCATAACCAACTTTTTCAAAGATACACAGACATATCAATGCATCTATTTAAAAAGACTACTCTTTATAGTTAAGGACTTTACATTAACTTTTATATTCTACTCAGCAAGGTGTCTGTCTGTATTCCAAATTAGTTCTCATGTTCCAGGAAATAAATACAAACTCATGATATCCCTTGTGATCACTGATGGCCTGCTTATGTAATTCTAGTCCACTAAATGTAATTCCACAAAATGTGCTCTTGATTATATAAAAATGCTAATATTTCTTGATGAAATACTATAATTCTCTTCTCCAATGGTTACAATTTTTTAAAGGTATGCAAAGAACTGAGTATCACTCCCATGAAAGACAGGAAAAAAAAGGATAATTTTGTTCCAAGATTAACTTTGTCTCATGTATCTCTATTAAGTCTTTCAAGGTTTCCAGAGAATCTTTTCATATCTCCATTTCTGGAAAGTGAAATCAGTATAGAAGTAATTTGGGAACTTGAAAATGGCATTGATTTTTTTCAGCAGATGCCAAATTTTTGACCGACATGGCTCCCACAATTACTTTGTTACCATCAGTCCAGTCACTTAACAGGTTGTAGGAAAAGATTCGTTTTTGCAGACACTGCTAAGCTGTTTAAAGAGAAGAGAGAGAGATTAATTTAGATTATAAAATGCACAAATATTGAAAATAACGTCGAACACTTTTTGTTGGATTATATCAGAGGTGTGAATACATTTTATCAAATGTGGACTTTTTAGGTAAGTCTGGTCCAGGAAGTGCAGAAACAGTAAGTCATATGATAGGTCAATATGATGTGTTAGTTCAATTAATGTATGAACTCCTGCCACCATCAGAAAATATTAAAAAACTATCTTTAGTCTGATTCAGTATCACTTTATCATAGAAACACAATTAAAAAAAAAAAAGTCCCCCAAGTACTAAATTGTTTTCAACCATTACAGTAAATAAAGCCAAACCTGAAAATTTCAAAACAATCCATTTTATATTCCAGAAATCTCCTTTATCCAAATACTAATCATTCAGAACACAATTTTCTAAAAATAGTAAGACAACAGTTTCATATTAGTCATAGCTTTTTTAATTAACAAGTAGTGAATTGGACACTTTAAGATATTGTTTACTACATACTGAAATAAACAGATTTGTTTAAATTCAGAAACCCAAACATTTACAGTAAAATGTGCTTACACATAAATATGACCAAATTTATTTAAAGCCCCTATTAGGTCCTAGATACATGCAATTACCATGTAAAAACAAGACCATGAAGTTGATGTAAAAAATGACAAAATCACTAAGTCACCAAAACTAGAAAAAAAAAATGAAATGGAAACTAAGAAAGGACAATCAATAAAACATAAGGAACTAACAAAGCAGCTTCAAAAATAGGCCCTACTAAGCTTTCCATTTTCAAAAGTTCTTAATCAAGTAATTCCAAAAACTGCCATTTATAAAATGACATTCTAAAAATCTACACTTGGAATTTCAAAGCATCCAATTCAGAAGCTTTGATTACTTTCTCCCCAGTCCCAAACTTCAAATGCAGGAAAAGCACTGACGTAAGGAAGAAAATATTCCAAGGGAATGGTATAATTTCTAGAAAAACAAACTTACTGCTTCCAGAACCTTTTAAGACCCACAGTCAGCATTAACAACAATCATTTTTCCTATTTTCATCCATTATTTTTCAATGTCATGTTAGAGATGAATAAATTCTTTGAGCCCATAACTGAAAGATCAACAAACCTGGTTTTATTACGACACCATATTTTTATCATTGGTACTGCACAAAATTATATACAAAGAAATATATACAAAATGTTCAAGTATTAGTTAAATTTCAATTCAAGGCTTCTGTTTCAAAAAGCTACATTTAACATATTTCATAAAGATAGCACAAATTAGTCATTTCAAATAATCTTTCCAACTACTTTTGGTTTTTATATATATAATATATATATAATTCAGTAGGCACTAAAAATCCATGCAGCTGCATTGTGAGGGGCTTGCTCCTGCCCTTAGGTATAAGCAGGTTCATCACTCCAAGTTGTGAGTTTGGCTATTACCCATTCATGCTCAAGTGCAGTAGATGATTTTACAAAATATGCTGTGATGCACTGGAAACCAGAGACCAATTTAGGTCTCAAATCGTATTATCTAGCAACAAAACGTTTACAGTTGTTCACGAACAAGGATTCCATTTTCATACCAAATAACAACAAAATAAAAACATTTTATGTGTAAGATAACTTACATCTTTGGACTGCTGGAAAATACTTTTTAATTATGAACATTTTAAAAATAAAAGACAGCAGAAGCCCTGATATTACCTCTTTTTCCTCATTTCTTATACTACCTTTTAAAATAAAGCAGGAAATGTGGCCAGCAGCTGGTCCCGTCTCTTCTGCCCCAACAGCTGTATCCACTTTAGCACAAAGAAAAACAAGGATGCTAAATACGTATATACTTCATCAAACAGTGATGTTTCACAAAGAATTTCTTAATGCCTCTTACACTGAAAGATATTGTAACTCAATTTACATAACTGGACAACAGATTAAATAGAGTACTTCAAGAGAAGAATACATCCCATCTTTGGAAAAATAGTGTCAATCAGGTCACTGAAGTGGCCAGAACCATTCAATTTTAAAAATTATTTTTAAATAGGATAAATACCTTTGAAATACAGAGAGTAAGATTCTTTGTGAAGCCTCACTTTACACGTTTTCATTCACATTTCACAACCTTCAATATCTAATCATACATACATAAATTTAACCTAAAATTTTAATACAACAAAAATAAAAGTGTTCAACAATTTTTCATACTCAGTGATTGGAGTAATCACTGTGCTGGTCCTCAAAGAAACATTTCATTAACCATTCTTATTCTTCCTCCAATTAACTAAAACACAGGAGTCTGATATGCATGTTAATTTCCAACTTTTCTAACGGTGAGATATTAAAATCTGTTACTCTGAATAAATTGTATTTCTCTATCTTCTACTGAAAACTAGTAGGCATTCTCAAGTATTTAAGGTATCTGTCATCATCAGCAAAGTAACTATCACATTTGTGCATGCCCCAAATACTTGTCAACCTCTGAAAAGTTGCTCTAAAACTGGAATTCCAATTTGCACGTTGTACAACTCGGAACTTCCATTCAACTTCACCTGTTTCACTGTCTCCAAACTGTATCTCTATAAGCAGGTTTCAGTGTACAGTTGGAACCGATGTCATCCAAGGCCATGTCCACACTGGGGACAGAAGAGCTAGGTACAGGCAAGTCTGAATAAGGGGACACATTAACAGCTATTTCAACCAGAAGAAACATCTTAAAAACATTACTGACCAGCACAAGTCTGTTTCCAGGGTGGACAGGGCCCAAATTAGATTCCCCTCCCACCTTCCAAAAAAAAAAAAATCACACACACACAAATTGAGATGTTGCTCATTAAAGTAGACTAAGCAGCAGAGCATGAGCGTTACGTGAAGAGATGGGATCCTTACCAGGTTGTGAGGCGGGAACGACTGTTCTGTAACCCCTACAACGGAGCCTGGCAGGAAGGAAATCACCTAAAAAAGAAACTGTCAGAGAGATTTAATAGTCACATGTTATCATTAGGAGTTGGTTACTGTGTCACATTCATGCTTTTAGCTAAACACTTAAAGATTCAATATTACTTTTTTCCTCCTCTGAAATGTGTCCAGTGAAGATGTCCCACTAAGGTGTTTTACATGGTGTAAGGGAGTTGAAAGGGGTAAACGCGGATAAAGAGCAGATTACTTGACCCTACATTTTAAGAGAAGACGACGCCTTCCGGGCGCATGCCGAGCAGAACTCCACCGACACCTTATCCTTGTCCACATGCAGACACACTCCTCCCGCTGAGTCGTCCTCTTCTAGCAGGTCCTGCTGCTGCTTTCCCACCGGCAGCGCGTAGTCGTGGTCACCGGCGGGCGAGTCTCTGAAGAGCGAGGTGGTCAGCCGCAGTCCCACGCCGCTAAGCCGGCTCAGCAAGCGAGCCAGTCCGGTCTCGTTGGCTAAAACTGCCCGTAGGTACCGACTCTCCTCCTGCAGCGCCTGTACGCGTTTGCCCAGCTCCCGATTCTCGGCCCGCAGCTCCTGGTTCTCGGCTGCCAGACCCCGGACTCGACTCTCCAGCCCCATCACGTACTCCTTCTTCTTCAGCCGATTAAGACGGGCAGCGGCCGCCGCCGCCTTCCGGGGACTCTTTGTCGCCGCCTGGTTGTTGTCGTTGCCGCTGCCGCCACCGCCGCCTCCTCCCGGGGACTTTCTCCGCCTCTTTTCTCCGCTGCCATTGTCATTGCTGCTGCTGCAGCCTCCGATACCATTTAAGAGCCTCTGCAGCAGGTCAGAAAAGCGCTGCATCTCAGCAGCCGCAGCCTCGTCATCGTCGTCCCCTCTCCACAGCCCGCCGCTATCCGAGCCTCCCCCGGACGAGGAAAGAGGCCCAGGCGAGCTAAGCCCGGGCTCCAGGTGCCAGTCCGGTTGTCGGGGGTCCAGCAGATCCGCCAGTTCCAGCCCGGACAAAAAGTCCATGTCCTCGGTCTCTTCCCCGTGGACGCTGGCGATCGCCTCCTCCTCCATCTCCTCGGGCGAGGGCGCGCGCACGGCCACGCCGCCGCGGCTCCCCCTCCCGGTCTCCAACTCGCCCACGTCGCCTTGCGGCTGCTTGCGGCCGGGCGATCCGGCCGCCGCCGTCTCCTTCTGTCCAGCCGCAGCCGGGATCAGGTCCGGAGACTGCGAGCAGGTCGCGGCGGGCGCCGGGCTCTGGGTGCGGGTCGGGGAGTCGCTGCCTGAGGCTGCCAGCAGCTTCGTCAGGCTATGCCTCATGAGGCCCAGCGGCGGGCCGATGTAGGCCCCGGCCCCTCAGTCTGGGCCTGGAGGGCCCCAGCGCGGATAGCCGGGGTGCTGGCCGAAACGAAGTGGAGGGAAAGGTTTCAGTCGCCTCCCACCCCACTTGGCCGATCGACCCCCCGCGCCGTGGCGGGGGGGAGGGATGAGAGCTCCAAGCAGCGAGGCCTAGCGATGACTCGACCGCGCCACCCAGACAACGGCTTGGCCGGAAGTCAGTCGCTTTCTCTCCAGCCCCTCCCGCCGCCTTTCGCGCGCTACCAGGCTGTAGTATCGCGAGAGTTCAGGGTGCTCGGGAGCGGGAGTAATTCCAGCTTCCTAGTGATGTCATAGCAACAGCGGCAAAAATAATAACTCCAAGTTTTATCCCCCAAATTCAATAATACACGACTCAACACTCAGACACGTAACATTTTGCCGTTTTACGTAGATAAGTATTTGTAAATACGGTTTTTTGCTGAATCTCAAAGTTACAGGCGAGACACCACACTCCTATATACTTTCTATGCATCTCTGAAAGTAAAGACATTTATTGTCCTTCGCAATCATAATACCATTATTACCAAGTCCTGAGAAAATTAACATTTACTAATATTATCTAATATCCAGGCCGTATTAAGATGACTTCAATTGGATGGCAGATAATGTTAATTACCTTTATCTGATCACTATACCTTGTGTGTATGGGGAAACATCACTATGTAAACCATGAATATTGACAATTAATATTTGTAAATTAAAATAAAATTTTAACTCAAAATATGGACTACAGCATTGCTTACCAAAAATAAAAATGCCATCAGTTATTCTCAATCTTTTTTCATAAGCAGATTTTTTTTTTTTGAGCTAGGATCCAATCAGCAATCACTACATTCGTTTATTTTGTTTTTTCCCCTCCAACATGAATAGTCCCCTCCACTTTTTAGGTTTTCAAAATATTAGCTTTTAGAAGAGTCCATGTTAGCTGTCTTGAAGAATGCACTACATTCTGGATTTGTCAGTTTCTTCATTGTTTATCCGGTTCCCTTAGTTCCTGTGAAAGTTGTGAGAATCAAAATGGAGCCACTAATGTTAAAAACAAAACAAAACAAAAAAGAAAAAAAAATGTCAAATAGAGCCAGCGAAGGCCCAAGAAAAGAATGTTTTCATGCTTCCATGCCTCATAACAAAAGCTATCAAAAAGACTGCAAAAACCACAACCTTGCACAAAGGCCATCACAACCTTACACAAAAAATATTTCTGCAAGGACATCTGCCCAGCAACTGCCTTTTAACCTTGAACTGGCATCACCCTTGTTATTGATCTTTGTAGCCAAGGATAATTATTTCAAAATAATTATGTAATTTCCATATTTTCCTTTAAAGGTCTTTGTTTTCCTTTACCTCCTTGAATAAACACGTAGTTTCCTATAACATTCCCTGGCAATGCTCTATTCCCCAATAAATATTTTTTAGAGACTCTCTCTGTTTGTCATTTAGGTTGATAGCCCACAAGGGATTTAAGATTTGAAACAGTTTACAAATACATTAGAGTGGCATAATAAAGCAATTTTATTTGTTTATTTTTTTTTTTTTTTCAGTTTTTTTTTTTTTTTTTTTGGCCTTAGCTGGGTTTGAACCCGCCACCTCCAGCATATGGGGCCAGCGCCCTACTCCTTGAGCCACAGGCGCCACCCAGCAATTTGAATTTTTAAAAATGAAAGATCAATGAAAATATAAATGAAATAGGAAGATAAAGAGTTCTGAAAGAGGGGAAAGGTTAGTATGGAAATTGGATGGATGCAAATCTTACACAATTATTCAAGTTAGGCTAAAATAAATTAAGCTTCCTGGCAGTCAAAACAACAAAAAAAAAAACAACAGATATGAACTTTCCTTTGTTTGTTCATGAGTAAAGTATATATGAATTCTTTAACTACTTTTCTAGTTCTTCGATTATAAAGGAACTTTCCTAAGGGACCCTGAATAATATGACAGATGGCCTCAACAATAGCTGTGCTTGTATGGCTATTTCTTAAAGAGACAGAAAGCAAATTCCAGGAAGGCTGTAAATTGACAGGTCCCCAAGTATCAAGAAATGTGCCTGGTACAATGTAGGTTTCAATAAATATTTGTTGAATGAATGAATTAATGAATTAATGAAAAAAGGCTATAGTTTTGAGTGGAAGAATAAACTAAAGTTCAACTGAATGAAAACTGTCCGGCAAGAAGCAAAAAAAAAAAAAAAAAAGTATGACCTATGCTATCTAGAAGAATAAATAAAAGGACTCTATGTCCTTTTGTTCTTTAGTAAAACCTTAGAAAGGACAGATGATTCTAGGTGATATATATACCCTCATCCAGCTGGTAATCCCATTCAACTCCATTTTTTTCCTTAGGCAAAATTCAACATCGTGGATTAAACTATTGTATTTTTTCCTAAATTATAAAATTTTGGCTTACATATACATATTTTAAGTGCCTTTCCATTTGTATTAAGGGAAAAGCAGAAAACTGAAAGGGAAGTTGTTAAAATGTAGCCTCTGAAGCAAGAGTGAAACTTCAAGAAAATTATTTTCTCCTCTTCACCATTCCCCTCCTCCCTTTCTCCCCCTCATTTTTCTCATGCTCTCCTTCACAACAGTATGTTTTTTCTTTTTCTGGTTATAATGATCATTGCAAAAGATGCAGATAATGCAGAAATTAATAAATAGAAAGATATGACTCACAACCCACCCCAAAATAACTTGTTATTGAAATTTTAGTGTATGTCAGAGTTTTTCTATGCACAGATACACATTATTTTATTGTATTGAACTCTGCCATTTTGGTATAAAAATATATAGCCATTGTTCATACAATTAACTATAGATCCTAATGTGGATTTTTATCGTGGATTTTCCAAGTTTTATTCAATCAATCTCTCATTCATAGCACTTAGATTGTATTGAATTTTTCACTACTATAAAGCACAGTATAATTTTGTGCAAACATCTTTGTTCACTTTTCTTACAACCTTCCTAAGATCAAAATCTTTGAAGTTGAATTTCTGGGCACAACTTTAGTTCTGAAACCACTCAAGGTCAGCAAATTTATTCTTTTTAATATGTGTGAATCCAAACATTAAAATGGTATTTTGTGTGAATTTTCATTTATTTAATTATTGGAAGACAAATGTTTTTCATATGACCAATTGATTTCTACTATGAATGGGATTTCTTGCTTTTTTAACTTATTTTTCTTTGAAAAAGAAAGATGGGAAAAATGTTTTTCAGATAAGATGTTTATCTTTTTTCTTAATTTATGAGAATGCATTGCATTATAAGGAAAACATCCCTTTTTTCCCCTCAATTGGCCATTTACTGGTAGGGCAGTAAAGTTGCTTGTTTGACTACATTTTTTTTTCTTGAGACAGAGTCTCATTCTGTTGCCCTTGGTAGAGTGCTGTAGTGTCATAGCTCCCAGTAACTTCAAATTCCTGGTCAAGGGTGATCTTCTTGCCTCAGTCTCCCAAATAGCTAGGACTATAGTCATGCACCACAATGCCCAGCTAATTTTTCAATTTTTGGTAGAGACGGGGGTCTCACTTTTGCTCAGGCTGGTCTCAAACTCCTGAGCTCAAAACAATCCACCCACCTCAGCCTCCCAGATAACAGGTGTGTGCCACTGTGCCCAGTTGGGTACAATCTTTAAATAGTTAATCTATTGAAGTTTTCTGGTTTGGGTATTAAACAAGCCATTATTAATCTGAGCAATACTGGCATTTACCCATATTTTTAGCAATTCTTTAATTGTTTATATTTTACTGGGAATTTTTAAGAACTTGAGTGGTTATTTTGTTTAGCATCAAATGAAATTTATCCAGTATAAATGTGAGGTAGAAATACAAACTTTTCAAAAACTTATCTGCAATAATACAAATCATCAAATAATCCATATTTGTCCCACTGATTTCCCAACGTATATGCCATATATTAAATTTTTACACACATTTGGATTTATTTCTGTTCTTTTTATTTCATCAATCAGTCTAGCAATTTTAGAAGCAAAATCAGTAAGTGTTTTATTGGAATATTATAATACATTTTAACATCTCATATGGCAAATCCCTCCCCCCTTTTTTGAGACAGGGTCTCACTTTGTAGCCCTTGGTAGAATGCAATGGCATCATAATTCACAGCAACCTCAAACTCTTGGGCTTAAGCAATTCTCTTGCCTCAGCCTCCCCAGTTCCTGGGACTACAGGCACCACCACAATGCCCAGCTATTTTTAGAGACAGGGCCTTGCTCTTGCTCAAGCTGGTCTCAAACCCTTGAGTTCGGGTAATCCACTGGCTTTGGTCTCCCAGAGTGCTAGGATTATAGGTGTGAGCCATCTGCCTGCCCAGAAATCCCTCTTTGTTGCTTTTACTTTCTCAGAATCTTCTAGCTATACTTAAATATTTTTTTCTCCACATAACTGTAGCATACTTTTCAAGTTCAAAAAAAAAAAAAGCTAGAATTTTCATGGAAATTGCATTACATTTATTCAACTCTTTTTCCCAGTTTTTATGCAAATTTTGCTACTGGAATAAATTATCTCTTCCTTTCTATTTCTAAGTGGTTATTGTTGCTGTATAGGAAAGATATTGATCTTTTTTGTTAGATTTTTAACTGACTAAACTTTCTTGATAATTTTTATTTTCAGCTTAGGTATTCAATTTTTTGTGGTAGACAATTAGATAACCTTATTGTATATGACAGTTTTTCCTCTTTCTTTGCAATATTTATTGTTTTATTATCTTTGCTGGGGTCCCGCCCCAGGAGCACGGTCTTTAAGACCTATAGAACTGGTCTACTGGTTATCAGCTATTGATTGAAGAAAAATAAGGTTAAAAGCAGCAAGAGATAAAAAGATAGGACATGCAGAATAGAGTTTTCAAAGGTGGGAACATATGGAACCACTGCTAGGTTCTAGGGTTCCAGCAAGTTGCCTTGAATGTTTGTTCCACTCAGCATTTATTGAAGGCTATTTTCTCATTTAGCTGAAAGGGTAAGCTGAGGAAGGGAATAAAAAAAATCACCAATTTCCCTGAGTAAGCATGTAAGTTCTTATTCTATCTATAATCATTAGCTTAAAGGGCCTGAGCCTTGTGTGGGAGCAGCCTCCTGTCTGTGGTCACACACACAGATTCGTTGGGGGAGATTAGACCCCTCTAGTTAGTTTATGGAACAGATGCAACAGCGTCAG